TTCTTGAATACCGGCATAGACTTCGCAGGCCCGTATCAGGTTCTGATGTCAAAAGGGCGAGGAGCAAGGACGAACAAGGCATACATCGCCATCTTTGTCTGTATGTCTACAAAGGCGATTCATCTGGAACTTGTCGGAGATCTCACGTCAGACGCGTTCATTGGAGCCTTTCGAAGGTTTGTAGCTAGACGTGGAAGATGTGCCCATATATGGAGCGACCAAGGACGCAACTTTGTTGGAGCTAACAAGCTTCTGGCCGGAGACTGGGCAGAAGCAAAACTACAATTCGAAGGTCCAGTCGCTGAGAAATTAGCCTTGGATGGAACGAAGTGGCATTTTATCCCTGCCTATAGCCCACACATGGGTGGATTATGGGAGGCTGGGGTGAAATCGATGAAACATCACCTAAAACGAATCTTAACAAAACACGTGACCTATGAAGAGATGATCACCCTGCTATGCCAAGTGGAGGCTTGCCTCAATTCAAGACCTCTAGGAATAATAGACGACACGAGTACCGACAACGTTCAACCATTAACCCCTGGTCATTTTCTGATCGGTGAAACACCTATTACTGTGCCGACCCCCAACTTGCAAAATATCCCAGTAAGTCATTTGTCACGATGGCATCATCAGCAGAGGTTAATGACTGAGTTCTGGCACAGGTGGCAACAAGAATACCTGTCACGGATGCAGCAACGTTCGAAATGGCACAACAAGGTCAAGGAGTTTGAGATAGGACACATTGTTTTAATAAAGGCAGATAACTTGCCTCCAGCTAAATGGATGATGGGACGAATTGTTGACAAGCATCCGGGCAAAGACGGTGTGACACGTGTGTATAGTGTGAAAAGTGGTGATAGTGTCGTGCAAAGACCATTTAACAAGTTATGTTATTTACCAATAGACACTGAATGATTATTTTTCTAGTTTGTGTTAATTTACCTCATTATCAAATGTAATTGCTAGAAGTGCTAGATTACTAACGGCATAAACTATAGTGTACCTATGTATTCTCTATAATATAATTTAGATTTGCCTTATTATGATTGTGTTCTGTTAAAGGGCAAATAGGCCCTTTGGTGGGCGGTATGTTGTGTTAGAATCTGTTGCATATGTAGGTATGTTTATTAAGTACGAATGCATGTGTGTGTGTCATCATAAGAACTAAGAATCCATAATGTTAAACCAAATAAATCAGTGCAATGCAACCACGTATTTCTCTTACCTAAAATCCCCGCAAGCAAAAGTGAATCTTATTACTATAACAAATCTTAATAAACGCGTTTGTACATTTTATGTCAAGCAAAGCCTTTTTGCCTATATGGACTGCACGCCACTGGATATAGTATCCATATTATATTAGATTTCAAGTATATAATATAGACTATCGGGTAATTGCACGATAGACAACCTCGTTTCGCTTGACATGTTATGATTCGTCCAATTAAGGAGCTAAGGACCAACTAAGTGAAGGGCACTAAGTTCATAAATATAACATAAAACTTATTATATAACTGGAAAAAACTTTTTGAATAATTATCTCCGTTACTGATACCCTCTCAGGGAAAAGGCTAAAGATTTTTGTACTTTTTCATTTATTCATTTATTTACTTACCTAAGTACTTTCTTCAGGTTGGCGATACAACGAGAAGAGCGACAGTAGCAGGAGCTGACACTACTATATCTGATGCCTGGACCACCATGATGACATCTGCCGAACCTTCCCGTAGCAGTGAAATAGTAAACGACCATGTTAGTAACTCCTGTAATTATGTGTAGAACGATGAGATGAGAGATATAGTCAAACACTTTATCGCTTTTATACTCATCGTCATCATCATAAGCATAAATTATTATTAAGCATAGGACATTTACTGCCATTTCAGTGGTTACTGCACCAACATCCCCTTAGGCGAGAGGGAGTGTCAGACTATTACTGACTAAAAACCACTCCGTTCCTACTCTTGATTCGAGCCGGACAAACAGCCTCTAGAAGAAGACTTTTGCATTTTTTTGACTTTGACTCTTTGCACCTTGCAAGGCTTTGGGTTAAGGAATATCATAACGCTTCACGCTTGAAAAGCAGCTTAAGTATTGTTAGGTCACCAAAAAACAAAATAATGCTACTGCCCAGAGGTCACAGTGTTAATAGACATATGCTTGAGTCAGGAATCTTACAAGTGTTAAAAATGAATGATAGATTCGACTCCATTTTTTTATTTTCAGGTTATAATGCAGATATTAACTGAACCTGTTGTTCCACAGTCGGCTACAAATGGAGATACAACAGACGAAGTCCAAGGGAATGCCTATAATGGGTTCTATTCTTCTACAGTCAATTTTAATGATATTTACAGTAATAACGTGGTGGTACTTGGTGAGGATCCGACTCCTGCAAAAGATTATAAAGAAAAAAAAGATGATGCTTTCCACTTGAAAAATTTACCGTCGAGTTATGTAGAGTTTCGTCCGCAAACACAAGCAGCAACTCCAGTGACCGTACCTCCGTCAATTTATAAACTTAATGCTTCATATGTTATGAAGACTGAAAGTACTGCGACTTCTTCAACCAGTACAACGACTACAGAAGAACCGGAGGAGATAAGTGTTCGAGTTATTCCGATAAAGAAGGATTATCAAAGAGGGATTCTTGACCTCTTATTCCCAGCTGCTAGAGTGAGAACATTTAAGACCGTGTTCGATACGTTTAGACGGTTAATGTCACATACGTTCCGATAGTTCATAAAATTGTTTGTTTTTTATTGTATATTTTTTATTTAGAGGTATATGACTACATGGATAGTGCTGTAACCGGCTGTTGCACGACGCGGCGCGGGTCCGACTTCCGCACGGATCAGCGCTTTGAATCATCATAATTATTGTTGTATGATCATATTGTTGTTCCGGGTTTGGGTGATGTGTTTGTGAATTTTTATGTTTGTAAATGCAATGAATGATATAGAGAACATCCATGTAAGTTACCTAATTAAATGTTCAATAGAACGAAAAATTACTTTAGTAAAATGTACGCCTAAGGTTTTGCCTGTGATGTTTTATTTTATGCTATCATTGTGTTTAAATTTTAAGGCCCAATTACCCTCCCCTTCCCCTATCTCCCCAATCCCTGAATCCCCAAAGATCCCAATCTCCAAAAAGCCGGTAACGCACTTGTAACGCCTCTGGTGTTTCAAGTGTCCATGGGCGACGCCGATTGCTTACCATCAGGTGATCCGTCAGCTCGTTTACCGGCTTGTGCCATAAAAAAGAAAAAAAAATTAATGAGGACCTGCTTCTGCTATCCGCTTATGTTTACTCAATTACACGAACTTGGCTCTGTTAGATTATGATCATATACCTAATATTTTCAACTAACTACTACTGAGAATAATAATACTGGAAAAGAAAATCTATAAATTCAAAAATTCATCAATATTCAGCTATTGACCGTTACTACTTCAACTAGACAAACGGTTTTACATCCTAAAAGCTAGTAATAAGGTTTCAAATGTGTTAATTAATGTGGGACTAAATAACTTCGATGTTGGTCGTAATTATTTAAGTGGTGTTAGTCGAGTGCTGGTAAAAAGCGCAGTAGCAGCCTCCACATTGTTTCTTGTTCACAGTGTTTCTGCTACTACCGTACCTTTACTCATTCATATGAAATGAAATGGTGAAATGATATTTATTTCTGTAAATGGGTTAGAAAGTAACACTTTTACACGACAATCTTCGAATTACTAAATGAGGGCCGGCCTTTCCTAACTGACTACTCTGAAAAGAATCGGCGAATCAAACTCAAAGGTCATTGTCTCTTTTAAAGTCCAAACAGATTATATTATATTGTACGAGAACTGTGCAATTTGATTTTGTAGTAGTTTTTATAAGAGAGATCCACAACAGTTTGAGCGAACCTCTTCTGATAGCAGCACCCATGTGTCTACTTCCAATCAGCTCAAGTAACGAATGTTGCTAAATATCCCGACGAACAATATCAACCAAAAGAACATTTGGGTATGCCGCACAAATGCTCCAACTTTCAAAATATAATTAATTAATTGTCGTAGTAATATTATATAAAGTAACGAAGGTTTAATATAAGGGCTGAATAGGGTAGTTTCCTAAATTTTATTTTAATGTGCGTCTGGTAGATTCATTTAAAACTTTAGACACATATTTTTTCTTTTCTCACAAAATTAAATGCTTTCGACGATGTATTAATTTGAAATGTCGTGTGATGTCACAGCGTGCTACAAAATGTAGCACGTTGTGACGTAACGACCTCCCACTCCTAAACTTAACTCCATTTTATCTAAGTATTATAACTTTATACGAGAAAATAAAAAAATACGTGTCTAATATTTTTTCATTATCTAACTTACGGACTAATTAGATTTTTATTTTTTTTTTATTCTGGAAACTACCCTATTCTAACCAGTAAAAGAAAAGGTAGCAGTTTAAAAGCAATGCTAAAGCATAAACAAACATAAACATTTTTTGAGGCTTTATGTTTTTCGGCTTACTCACTTATACACTGTCGCGTTGCTATTTCAATATTAGCCTCTAACGTGGCTTGAAACTAATCGAGTTCCTCGTCAAATAATTACGTGAGTAAGCCGTAAAACATAATAATTAATTTAGTACGTCCCACATAAGTTATCTATATAAATAAAAATGAAGTTCCATTCGTTAGTCACGCTAAAACTCGAGAACAGCTGCACCGATTTGACTAATTTTCATGTGAAAGTCCAGAGAAGGATGAACGAAAGGAATGAAATCACTTTTACATTATTTAATAACTCTATTTGTTTGTCATAAGGTTTGATTCTGCATATCGACGCTACCCATGAACTAGTGCAACACCAGACGATAAACAAGTGTGTTGCCGATTTCATTGGGTGATTGGGCCTGTGGCAACTCCGTCACATGGTTCACCCACGTGAAAAATACTGCTCATATCTCACAATTGTCCAAAAAGGCCTATAACACCAATAGTACGGTGCCACTACTCTGTACAACAGCACACTTGACTAAAACGTGATTCACACTGATTGCACTAATTACACTCGACACGCTCGCACTTGAGTCTGAGCGCTTTTAAGCGCTTAAGCGCTGTTGAGCGAACGCTTGTCTTCAATTAATTTTTTGGATTAACGCCAAATGTTAACGGCGGACCATTTCTTAGTGCAGATAAGTTTTAGTGTTAACTTGCAATCGCTCGTAACAGTTATAGAAGTAATTATTTTCGCGTGGTTAATGTCTTAATTAAGTATTTAAAGGAAATGAGAAACATGTAGGTACTTGTTTAATGTAGGGCATGTCTACTACTTTCTCATAAAGTTCGTGAGTAAAAGATGCTATCAAAAGAATGAACATTAATGGAAGTATTTCGGTTTATTTATTTAATTGGGTGTCATCAATTTGACCAGATATCTATTGCAAAATGTTTTGATTTTGTACATATTTACATTACATTATTTAAGCATTAGGTACTAAAATGAGAGTAATTTGTAATAGTCCAATACCACAAGCAATTTTGAAAACCAATAAAAAAGTTCGTCTGGCCACAGGTTAGTTAGTAAATCAATAACAGATTGAAACACGGTAAGTTTCTCATAGTCTAAGTAAAATATTACATAGAACAAACCATAAAATTCAACCCTCGACAACCCACAACTGTACCAAAAATAATCTCCAATAACAGCAAAAATCAATTTCACAAAAATAATAGCTACAGGCTCTTGAATAAGAATCGTACCCATTCAAAATCAACCTTTAAACTTAATAACAAGAATCAATTGAATTTACGAAGATTTGCAACGACGAAAAAAAAATGGCGCCTAGCATTTACTGGAGATGGCGACTTTTTTTTCTTTCTTTTATTAAAATGAAGCAAACGCGCCGACTCAGGCCGCGAGGTGATAATTTTATATTCACGATTTATCCGAGGGGCGGTGACAGACAGACTTTCAAGTCAAAATTATGGTTACAATGTCCCCGTAATAACGTTAAGAAGTTATCTAATATTATTTCACGGGTGGATTCATGAAAATTTTTGTTTAATTAAGTCCTTTTTTGGTATCTGGCAGTTCTTTGGGCAACGTTTCTTTTGGTGAAAGTTTTTCCAGTGTTGTTTTTTGATTCACATAATATAACATAACGCCTTTTTATCCCCGAAGGGATATAGGCAGAGATGCACATTACGGGACTTAAAGCCACAGAACAATGTAACACCCACTTTTTACTATTTATGTTATGAGTCCCATGGAATAGGGGGTGAGCCTAGCCCATTTATCTGGCACAATTTCAGACTCCGTGCTACTATAGAGATTTTTTAACAAACCCGGCTGTCGTACTTGCGACTACTTGGCCAACGAGACAATTTTGGATTCGTCGGTGATTAACTGTATTTGTTTTGAGTTAACACTATCAATATCAACAGCTTATGATAATAGCCCACTCTAGACTATGGGTCTCCTCCACATAAGTTCTATTCTCCAAGCTTTTTTTTTGAGGGTGAAAATCATCCAATGACTTCTCCCGCCCGGGTGAGGCGAGAGGGAGTGTTGACTCTTACTGACTAAAAACGACCCTGTTCCTACTCCTACACTTCGAGCCGAAGCCCCGGCAACCCGTTAAGTCTTCCGCGGCTAGCTAGCCCATCAAAGTTAGTAGTGTAATTAGAAAGGTTCAAGTGTATCAGAGAGCGCTGCTGTCCGATGTCTGTCACATGTGTAGTAGATGACTTTTATTACACCCACCGGAAGAATAGTGATAGTAGCAATCGCCGCCGCCCATGGACACCCGGATTGTTGGGAATACAGTGATTGGGGAGATTACGGAGGGGGGATGATAATCGGGCCCACACACACTAACACAACGCTCTAGTTGTTTCACGATGGTTTCCTGTGAGGCCGTGGTATCACTCCGGTCGAGCCGGCTCATTCGTGCCGAAGCATGGCTCTCCCACACTTAAAATCTGCGATTACAATAGTGCAGGCAGTTATTAATGTACAATAGTACAGGCATCTATACATTATATGGTACTTTATTCGACTGCCTCGTTGGCCGAGTGGTCGCAAGTGTGACTGCCGGGCAAGGAGCTCTCGAGTTCGATTCCCGGGTCGGGCAAAGTATTACTGGGTTTGTAAAAACCTCACTAGTAGCACGGAGTCTGGAAATGTATCCGGTACATGGCAATAGGCTCACCCCCTATTACATGGGACTCATAACATAAATAGTGAAAAGTGGGTGTTACATTGTATAGTGGCATAATGTGCACCTCTGCCTACCCCTTCGGGGATAAAAGGCGTGATGTTATGTATGTATGGTACTTTATTATAATTATGCTATACCACAAAGTAATTAAGTCCAAAGTTGAATGTTTTAACTAAATAACATAGTGGTGTTGAATCTGTCGATAAAATGAGATGAGTTGTGACAACTAAGCGTGTTCGAAACAATGTCAAAGTCAAAGTCAAAGTCAAAGCGTTTATTGCAACTAAGTGTACAGATGGTGGTTATAAAATTATTACAGTGCTTAATACTTAGCGGCCTCTTACAGACATTGCAACATTTTTAGTTATGTAGGTACACATTCATTGTTATTAACATTGTAGGTAGATATTACAAATCATAAAGAAAAGAAAAAAAATAATAATTGTCAGGTATATGTCACATCATAGTAATAATCAATTCAATCGGTATAATTGCTGTCGAGTTTAGGATGTCAATAATAAAAT